TTTTTCCCAAGGAGCACATGTGCTCCTAAGTTGAAAAAGTAAGGAGCGCACAAAGAACTTTAGGGGCACAATGTAAATTGATCAAATAATGTGTTTTCCGTAATAAACGTGATGCAAATAAACATTTACAAGCAAAATTATTTAATGAATTTGTATACAAAAAGGTAAAATGTACAGAAATGTAAAATCATCAAGTTTTGAAAAAGTATTGCAATTTAATTTTATCTTTAATGTTATTATCTTATATATATTATCTTTGCAATATGATTATCTTATATAATGTTATTACTATCCTAAAACATTCTCCAGGTCCTCTGAAACTCTGCAGGACTTACTTCCACCCTGCCCAGCAGCGGTACCGTGGCGAACGGTCCCTAACTGTGGGGAGAATGGAGCAGGCTTACCCGGAGGTCCGCCGCTTTTCCCGGTCCCTCGTCTCCACCACACTTTGACTTATTTCCACCCAGCCGACAGCCTGGCTGTGGAGAACGGTCCCTAACTGCGGGGAGAACGGAGCAGGCTTCCCTGGAGATCCACCGCTTAACCCGGTCCGTCTCCTCCACACTTTGACTTATTTCCACACTGCCCAGCAGCCGTAGCTTGGAGAACGGTCCCTTGCTGCGGATAGAGGGGAGAGGGCTTCCCCGGAGGTCCGCCGCTTAAGCCGGTCCGTCTCCTCTGCCACACTTTGACTTAATTCCACCCTGCCGACAGTGGGACTTACATTCATTGTGCTAACAGTGGCTTTGAAAACCACCCATAACCGTGTCACACAGGGAAGAGGGAAGGCGGCTGGAGTTCCTCCAACATTTGCGGTTAGATTATCATATTTTTTTATTGACAAAAATATAGGCTGCTTCGGCTGATTTTTTATGCGCACATGTGCCCCTAAATATTTTTTACAGTTTGCACACACCTATTTTTAGTTGCAAATGCGAGTGAAACGCTCGCACTGTTGAGCGCTGTCTCTAAATAAATTTTGATTGATTGATTGATTGATTGATTGATCGTTGATTATTTTGTGAACCAAGCGCAAATCAGAAAAGGTGATTAGATTGTTGAAGCTTAGCATATTGAATTTAGTGAGAATATTACAGTGGTGATACTGTACTGTACTGATTTCTTGTCTAGGATTTTGAGAGTCTGACTGTATTTAATAATTGATTTTTGGGCAGTTTGACTTGCCTGGGACCAGCATGGCATGCAATAGCTCATATAAGACAAGATCATAGCATTCATGTAAGTTTTGGCTGCTTCATTTGTTAGTGAATTTCTTATATGGTGGAAGTTTGAATTATTTAGCCTCATTACCTGAGCTGTTGTTTATATGTTTCTTGAAGGATAGATTAGGATCAAGAATGACTCCCAAGTATTTAAATTTCTCAACATTTTTTAATTTTTGCCCGTTTATGTATACACTGGGCCATAATCTATGTTTATGCTGTTTAGTAAAGTACATGGACACCGCTTTATCTGTGTTTAAGGTAAGGCATGATTGGCCAAGCCACTTCGCTACTTTACTCACTACATCAGATAGTTTAGCCGCTACTGCATCTGCATTTTTCCCATGTGCGAGTAAGACTGTATCATCCACGTACATTATTATTTCAACCTCATCAGATACCTGAGATATCTAGTAACTCCTACGTAGATGTTTAATTTTATCTGTGGCAATATGAAAGGGCACGTTTTTAAGAAAATTAATATTAATTTTAATAAAGTATATATATAAAAAAAAAATTTAAAAAAATTCTAACACTAATGGCAAGGGGTTCCATAGAGATCACAAATAGTAACGGGCTTAAAGGACAACCCTGTCGACAAGAGCATTGTAATGAAAAGGAGGGTGATATATTATGGTTAGTCATGACAGAGGATTATGGGATAATGAAAAAAGAGAATCTTCCTGGAACAAATCCAGTAACACTTGCTCATGTAAGCTAAATTGAGCATATCTTAGTTTTTCACCAAACTAGGAAACCAAAGTCATGTACTGCAGGCACCTCGTGTACATCTGGAAAAAGCAGCTGTGTGAATTAGATTCCGTATCCCGGTCGGCTCTGCTGTGGTGCGGCAGCAGGTATAATAAACCGTTCTATGGAAGTTTTGGCATCTGTGGGCTCCTGGAATATTTTCTCCTCTGTTCCATAGGTGAAGATTAGTCATGCAGTTAAGAGGAGGCTGTGTTTAATTCCTGCACCTCTCAGCTTTTCTTTACTCTGTTAAAGGCTTGGCGCTGCTCAGATACTTCAGGCGGAAAACCTGGATTTATGCTGATCTGGGCTCCATTGAAAGACAGGGGAGACTGCAGGTGGGCGAGTTTCAGAATTTTCTTCTTGTCTGGAAAATGGCGACCATGGAGCATGGTTGTGCAGGTGAAGATTGTTCACCTATACAGTGTGCACGGTCCACTTTGAGTCCGCTGGGGAAGTTATTTTTCCTGAGAAATGCGGTAAAAGCTCAGTCACAGGTTGCCTTTCTCCACCTTTTCTGGTAAGCCCAAGATTTTTTTGTTGGAGTGTCTTGAATGACTTTCAAGGTCAATCAGTTTACGTCTCATAGTTTTGTTGATTTCCACAGCTCCTCACACCGCCTCTCGAGATTCATGATATGGGACTAGTGGTTGGTTGCACAACCCTCTAGGTCAGCAATGCACGTGGCGTGGTTGGTCAGGGTGGTTTGGACTAGATGTAGCTTTCAATCCAGAGAGTTGAATCTGGTGTTCATGTCCCCCTTCAGTTTTCTGATAGCAGCTGGGATGTTTGCAAGTGTGGGCTGCGAGCCTGTGGTGTCGCTAGTGCTAAAGTTGGAGGTGCAAGCTAACTCAGCTTGACTGTTAGCATCCTCCTCTTCTTCACCAAGCTTTACCTTCTCTCTTGGAGGCTGGTTTTGGGTTAGAAGGCTGTCCTTTAGCGACGCGTCTTCCAGAGCTGCTCATAGTTGGATATTAAAGGAGCAAGCGTGGATAATAAGTATGATTTTTAGCGAGAGTGAAGCAGAGCTTCTCAGAAAAGCATCTACTCCATGCGGTGCTCACTCAGTTGGCGTGTTGCTTTTGTTATCCCGCCATTCCATCTGTTGCAGCTGAGCCAGGCTGGGAACAGTTGTGGTTCTGTTGTAGAATGATGCAGTCTTTGCTGTGCTGAGTTCCGATTGTGCAGACCAGAGGAAACCAGTGGCTCCGTTTGTTGTCGTCCTTTACAGAGCTAGCAGCTTGGCTCTATCTTGGCTTTGTTGCTCCTGGTTGAAGTCAGCTGGCAGACTTTGTGTTGTAGCTGCTGGCGCTTAACTGTCTACTCTCTCATTTAGCGGTCCTTATTTAGCTAACCACAAATCTCCAGCAGGCTCTTGCATCCTCTGGCATGAAAGGAAAAGTCCACTTCAGATGGTCGTGATCATACAGCCATTCGGGGACTGATGAGTGAGAGAGAGATGGGAGAAACCTTTTCTGCTGTCGACAATAGAAAGATGAGAAATTGCTGAGGGGGGGCAGGCAGCTTTTCCTATAACAGCGACCGTCCTTTGTGGAGAGTCCAGACAAAAAAGAGGAAGAACAATGCAAAACTGGGGTTCTGTTGATAAGATGATGTTGTGGGTTACATATAACAGTGACCAGTGGTGATTGAGGACTGGCTTGGGTGTTGAAAATGGAGGATTGTGGGGAACTGAGTTCATCCAGGAAAGGCACAGAAGTGAGGGAAGTTTCCATTTCACAATAAAAGGCACACAAATTAACAAGATCGTCTTTAAAGTTCCAATGGTTCCAACACTAATAAACAAAAGCTTAAAGGTCATCAGTGCAATCAATGTTTCCACAACTGTGTCTGTTGTATATTGTGCAATGCCATCTACTGATGAGGTATTACGATGGTGATGATAAAATCTTGGGGAAATGCAAGCTTATTCGCTAGAAAGCACCAAGATTCCAAGAATCCTCAAAGGAACCAGTTCAAGAACCAGAGCTAATTTGGTATGAAAGAGGTATAAGAGTGCTAATTTGAAATCTCAGTTTTGCTCAAATTACAATTTTGGCCAACAAAACCAAAAAATAAGCCCTGAAATCAGAATGGAAACACATAGTAAACACACAAAAAAAAATTACACAATAATTACACTGCAAAGTACAAAGTCAACACAACACTGACCTGAAGCTGATAAGCTCTGTGAAGAGGAGTGGGGGCAGGAAGAAGGTAAGAACCAGTTTCCAGACCTCAGTACTTCTCTCCATGTCACCCCACCAGATCTGAGACAGCAAAGACTACGGCAGAGAGCAGCAATGTCACCACAACAGTTCCCACCCAACTTTACACTGACTGATCATATTCATTTACACAATCTACATTGACATCAAATGTCATATTACTATTTAAAGCATAGCTCGAGCCTGGTATTTTTACCAGTCAGTTCAATTCTGCTGTTGTGGCAGAAGACTGACATCTCTACCTGAACACCATCATGGCTGAAGAACAGGCGGGCGTCAGCTGCAGTGGCCATCTGCAGGCACGTAGCTCCACCCCACACTGGAGACTTCCTTATAAGGAGAGTGAAGGAGCGACTCTCGCTGTTCTGGTAACACTCACCAAATACATCTGAAGACAAATACGACACAGAATACACACATTATCATCTTTATTTTTTCTTTTTTATAGTCCAGGGCAGCTGTGGCTCAGAAGGTAGAGTGGGCCGCCGGTAATAATAAATAATGTATGTACACTGAACAAAAATATAAACGCAACACTTTTGTTTTTGCTCCCATTTTTCATGAGCTGAACTCAAAGATCTAAAACATTTTCTATACACACAAAAGACCATTTCTGACAAATATTGTTCACAAATCTGTCTAAATCTGTGTTAGTGAGCACTTCTCCTTTGCCGAGATAATCCATCCCACCTCATAGGTGTGGCATATCAAGATGCTGATTAGACAGCATGATTATTGCACAGGTGTGCCTTAGGCTGGCCACAATAAAAGGCCACTCT